CCGGCTGCGAGGCCGCGCCGCCGCGCCTGGTCCCGGCCCCCCGCCGCTGCTGCAAACCCAGCACGAAGCCGGTTCTTCAAGAAAATGCTTAGGGTGTTCTCCGTTCTTGATCGCGGCTTGGCTTAAAGGGCTGAAGAAACTTCGGAAAATATTAACGGTGCAGATAAATGCCAGAGTAGAAGTAAAGTGGACCTGAGGCTGTCGCGGCTAACAGTGCCTTCCAGTCCATACTAGGGAACTTTTTGCCTTAGACCTGTTTAACATTCATGAAGCTGTTTGGGACAGGATTACAAAAAGTTGCCATGGCTAGCCGGGCGTGGTGGCGCACACCTGTAATCCCAGCACCTGGGAGGCTGAAGCAGGAGGATCGCCTCGAGTTTGAGGCCAGCCTGGGCTACGTAAGCATGATTCTGTCTCCAAAAAACAAAAAGTTGCCTTAAAGAGTTTCTTGGCTATTGTCAGTAGCTATTTTTATGTGCAGTATCTTACCAAAGCTTTTCTTTTTTGAATGCAGGTTTTGTTGAGGGATATTCAGGATTGTACCGCCCTATGTGTTCTACTTTCTTGAATTCTTAAGAGAATTCGAGAGTTCGGTACTCTGTATGTAATCAATGCTGTGAACGAGGAGTGCTAGCTCCAGGAGTGAGTTAATCCTCTTGCTGGTTTGAAATCAGCAAACTGTTTACTCAGCCACGAAGCGTCAGCCTTTCCTACTGCAGAGACGGTGACCGCGGTGCCGGGGAGGGGACGGGGCGGGTCACGTGACGCCACAGCAGCCCCCCGCCTTTCGCAGGGACTCTCGGATTTCCTGAAAATGCCTTTTGAGCCTCATTTTGAAGGGAATGTTGACGCGTTTCTCTTCGCACCCTTCTGTCTATGGACGGGGCGGGGTCATGCTAGGTGGTGTTCTAAAACCCAAAGAATTCGGTGCTGACAGTCCCGGTGTCATCTCCTATCCCAGTGACTGATGATCAGGGTTTTAAAAATGTTCCAAAGCTGCATTTTGCGCCGGCGGGAAGCCCCGAGCCGGCAGCGGCGCGTCCGGCGCGGCGGAGATGCGGGCGCGGGGCGCGGGCTGCCCTGCCGCCTGCGCGTTTATACTACCTCCTTCCACCTGTGCGAGTGTTGCTTTTCCTGCACTCAGGGAGCATGTCGTTACTTTCGAGCTGCCGCGTGCACGCGTGGGCAGATTGACAGGGTACGGTGTTCGGGGTTCGTGAGGCGTGTGGGGCCGGCGGTGCCGTGTCGAGGGCGCTGCGGCGAGGTCGATGGGGGACGGGCGGCGCCTGAAGGGGAACCGCCTGCGAGGGGGGTGCTTGTGCTCACTCACGAGGAGGCCCCTGGTTAGGGTAGATCTTTAGGATCTGTTTGCTAACTATTTACCAGTACATTTTTACCTTTTCATTTTGTCCTTATACAGATTGTTTTTTCATAATTATTCTGTTACCAAAGAATTTTCAGTAGAAAGTGAAATTTTGATAATTCCCCAAATTGAATTAACTAGAAACATCTATAGAGATGACGTATATACAAGTAGTTACTAACCCCAAAACAGTAGGGTTTATATTGGTTGTTGTAGTTAAGTAGGCTAGTAATATTGACTACCTTCTCATTACCAGAGCATTTAAAATAAATTGTAATACGTTCTTCACCAGCAGATAGTTCCAAAGAATTTCAAGTATAATTTTTTTCTTCAGCAAGTAAATCTTCAACTATGCAGTATTAAAGTATTTTTTTAAATGGTTGAAACTACTTGTTGGAGAGAAATAATTCTTTTCACCAAAAATAAATATTTTGGTCTCACTGAATAAGATGTTTAACGTACAGCGAAGACTTCTTTTACTTGGACACAGCAAGCGTCTTCAAAGTCTGAAGCTCGAAACTGTGACTGCAGTGCGGAGTCGCTCACTCATGCCCCCTAGCGGCTTCACAGCATTGCGCTCCAAAGAGCACGTACGCCCATTAACTCCTTTCCTCTCCAAAGGTTTACTTGCTGTGAGCACTGGTACATGCATGCCATTTTTATGCCAAATGTTGCAAGATCCTGCTCATCAGTATTTTCATACCAAAGACCATTAAAATATATAGTTTAGCCTGTAATAAATTAAGATGAGCAGATTTGAAATAAATTTATTTAGAGTGGATAGAGAATCTAGCTTTAGTAGTGAAAGATATCAAAGCGCTAAGTTTACATAATTAAAAGCAATAGTTATATTGGTATTTATCAGTGTTTTTATTCAGATACTTTATATCAGCAAATTAAGAAGAAAACCAAAGATATTTAAGGTTACCTCTGCATATAGACAAATTTAGTTGTACATGAAATTGTTTCTTGTTTCTATGTCGACCGCACGTGTCTCTCCAGAGCCGGCCTGTGGGCAGACGGCATACACAGGACTTTCCGTCAAATCTGCTGACTCAGCCCAGTATGTTTTTGCCAAATGCTGCGATACTTTACAAGCACTGAGTGTGAGACGTCAACAGAAATAGCAGCGTGCTTTTCCAGTTCAGAGTATTAGGGTAACCCTGAGTTACCCGAACAGTTGTCCTCCTGGGTAACTCAGGGGGCGGCAGGCCTCCTGCCGTCATGGGATGTGACAGACAGACGGACGAATCACATCGCTGCTTAAGTGGGCTGTGCTTCAGTAGCTGTGCTCCCCAACATTGCTGAAATGAAATTTAGTTATTAGATTGAAGTGTTTTCACTGCACCAAAAGAGCCTATTTTCAAAAACCTTGGGTGAAGGGTAAAATGTGTTTTATGAAATCAGAAGTTTTATAGGATGATTAACCAGAAAGTAAAGACACAGACTTATCTGCTAGGGGCCTTTAGAAACAGCTTTGCCATCCCCAGGAAGTTAGCTCCTCAGTGAAGTGCTGTAAACTTCCTGGGCTTTGCAGTCACAGGCAGCGCCTGCCTGGGGACAGCAGTGATTGGCACCGTGTGGGAACGTGCGGTGATTTGTTGAGGGTTCTGCCGGAAACTTGCTTGCTCCTCGCCGGCAGCGCAGGATCATTGTTCAAATCCGCAGGAGGGTGTTCCTGTTTTTAAACGTAAGAATACCTGGCGAGGTTCCACTTCAGCAGTGGCTCTTGTGGTTTACGTTTATATTTAGTGATCTATATTTCATTGAATGTAAAGTTTGAATACTGGATGTAAAAAAGAAGTTCCACCTGTACTGAAAAAGTCAAGATCTTTCCAAGACTCTGTGTATTTCGCAGACTTTGTTCCTAAGAATTTCCTACATGGGTCTCTGATAAAATTACCTTGGTTTAATCCTCAGATACTTTGCAGTCTGTGAGCAGAGTAGCAGGTTCTGGAGACCACCATCTAAACCAGTTATCAGTGGTGAATGTTACTGATAACTAGAACATAACCATAGACTTCTGTGTTAAGTTGGTTTACGCTCAGGACGTAGGGTCACTGGCTAATGCAATGCATGTGTTTACAGGCTTTCAGCTTCTTGTTTGCTTCTTTTAAGCATTTGAGAGTGTTTAAGATGACAGTCTTTTGTTTTTCCCAAAAACTGTTCTTTTCCTGTTGCTCCTGTAACAAATTACCATGAATTTGGTAGCTTTTTTTTTTTTTTTTTAATTTGGTAGCTTTAAACAACACAGATTTGTTCTCTCAGAACTCTCAAGTCAGAAGTCTGACACAGGCCTCTCTGGGATGGAATCAAGGTGTTGGCGGAGCCTTGCTGCGGGCTCTGGGAGAGCCCACCTCCATTCTTTTCCAGCTCAGGAAAGCTGTGAGCCCCTCTCGTCAAATCCAGCAGCCTGGAGTCTCTTTGACCCCACCAGAGAAGAGTTCTCTAACGTTAAGGTAACCGGGTCAGGCCCCTTTGAGATCCAGGGTATCCTCCCATCTGCAGCTCCTTGGCTCCCTCCCGTCCACTGTTTCTTCTGGGAATCTGCGCGTGAACTTCTGTGAGCGGCAGTTACTTCTTCCTCTACCATGGCCACACTGTTTCCGTGGAGTTCTGATCGCTGTAAAATGTCTGCTGCACTTAAGAGTTGAAAAACCTAGTGTCATTTGCTCTTGAAAATCTTCAGAATTTTAAGGACATAAAAAACTTTGACCCTGTAGCTTATCAAAAGCATGCCCAACCAGGCGTAGTAGTGATGCCTACAATCCCAGCTACTCAGGTCCGAGGCAGGAGCCTGGGCGACCTAGAGAGACTCTGTCTGAAAATGAAGTCTGCAAAGGTCTGGGGTGTAGTGTAGCTCAGTGCTCCCTGGGTCCAAGCCCCCGTGCGTGTGCAGTGTAGGTGACAGGTACGTTAA